GTTCTTTGGACACCAATCACTGTTATTTTGGCTCTCTGACTTCTGAGAAAGGAGTCTATTTGCAATCTCTTTACCCACTAATTCTCAGACTGGCATAACCAGTGCAAATAAGTCAAAATTAGGTAGTGTCTTGGTGCCACTAATTTCTCTTCCTTCTGACCTGTGAAGTCCCACCATCTGCTACTACTCAGCAGAAAGAAAGCAGCATCTTTGTTTCCTTAAAAAGCATTTGCATCACCACAGGTGGCCAGGAGATAATAGGAAAACAGCCATTTTTATAGCATTTCCCATTCATGCTGTCTGTCTCCTTGTTTCCTTAGGGAAGCATTATTTCAGAAACAGATGACAGCTTAGGCAGGCATCACAACTACAAATCTCAAAAGGGGAAGTGCCTATTCCAAACTGTCAAACATGACTGTATATAAAATCACATCATAACACAGTAAAGAAAGATACCATTCAGAAGATGTCCATTTAGCTCTTTCATTATAGAATATGCGGAAACAGTTGATAAATTGAGAAGGAATTAACAGCCTTACTCAACACAGTAACAGCATTAAAGAAAAGCGCTAAAGATGTAGAGAGCTAGCCCAGTCAAAAAAAAAAAAAAAAAAAAAAAAAAAAAAAAAAAAAAAAAAAGATGAACATTTAGTGTGCATTTCAGGCACATATGGAGGAATATATGGCTGGATAATATCACTGGGAAAAAAAAGTAGTTATTGGACCCTTCAGAGTGCAATAGAGATTGAGTTCTGAAAATCTGAAATGGGAAGTCATAATTAGGGAGTATACCACCACAGTGTATAGTAATTGCAGCTACTGGATAAAACCGAGTACTGTCAATATTTCTTAATAACACAGAGACTCTAAATAAAGTTGCCTTGCATTGATAGGAAAATTCCAGATTCTTTCATTAGTGGTGAGCACTATAAATTCTAATTCAAATGTTAATCTCTGAAGATAGCTGTCTTACATCTCCTGTGATACATTATTAACAGAGGAGCTAAGCAGGAGATTAGATTTTTTTACTTTTGAAAAACTGTTATCCTTCAACAGGTAGTTGCAAAAACTTGCTTGTGGTTACATTCTTACCACAGATGCCCCATTTAACAATCTCACATTTATTTTACCCTAATAGGATGGTATAATGTGGTAAAATGCTAAAAAGCATAGGATTGCAGCTGCACTAGGTATGGCAAGGAAGGTGTTTCTCTTCTCACAGCTAAAAAGTGACAGGACAAGAGCAAATGGCCTCCAGCTGAGCCAGAGGAGGCTTAGGTTGGATATTAGGAAGTTTTCTGGACTAAAATGGTGATTAAACATTGGAACAGGCTGCCCAGGGAAGTGGTGGAATCACCATCTCTGGAAGCATTCAAAAGGATTGTGGCTGTAGCACGTGGGGATATGGTTTAGTGGCTAACACAGTGGTGCTGGAATAATGGTTGGACTTGATGACCTTAGAGGTCTTCAGCAACCTTAACAATTCCATGACTCTATGATTTGGGACTGAAAGAGTTTTTCACAAAGCATTAATTTCTTACATATCATTCAGTCAAAGGATTATTATTTTTTTTATTTGAATCTTTAGAAACCCTGTTAAACAACTCCCAGTTACTAAAAGGGGAAAAACATAAATGACAAGCAGGTAATAACTATTTAATAGGTAAGCAATTTTTTCACAGGACATGTTCTGTGTAGGCTTTCACTAATCCATCTTTCCATAAGTTGCCCATTTACTTGCTAGACCTTTTTTTGATTATTATTAATTTAAAACCTCTCTTTTTCTTTCATAAAATACTAGCAGAAGAATGAAAGACTAAAGATAGCCTTATGAGTAAGAATTCATGACATACATGAGGCAATAATTAGCAACCTCTCCATGAAACAGGAAACTAGCAATAAAGGCAATGTATTTCTAGACAGGGAACCTGCCACTGAACATTTACTTACTCTTTAAGATACTCTTTACATTTTAAGAGTAGGTAGGAAAATCTATAGCAAAAGCTTTCACTGCTTCTCAATAGCAAACATCTTAAAAACTCCAATCCTGTCTTATTTCTCTTACTTTTAAAGCTTTGTTCAACTTTTATTTTTCAGACTAATCTTTGAGCATCTGGCACCATCTGTTCAAAAGAAATAATTGATAAAATGGGCCAAGATTGAACATGCAAGTTTTATCATAAGATCTTAAAAGAGTTCTAAAGTTTCTTTCCTTTGGACTATAACCTGAAATTTGAAAAAAAGGTCAGAGATACTTCATAAACATGCCATCTCCAATCATCATTAATATCTATCCAAACACCTGAGTAATTTATAAGTCTGTGGAAACTGGACACTATCCTTGGCATAAATTTGATGACAGCTGCTAGTTCTCTGAAGATTTGTGCTTTCGTTTGGCATTTGTTGATCCTTTATGTTTGCCATATACTAAAAAAAGAGTAAGCATTATACCCACAAAGCACAGATATACCAGAAACACAAGTGCTAAGAATTTAATTTAAACTGGCTTTCAGGAGCCACTATAATACTACACTGAGAAATGAAGAGCTGTAAAAGTTGTCTTTACTTTTAATACACTGCTTCATTGGAGTCAGACAGTGGGGATCCTAAAAGAAATTTAAGAGGGCACGTACCACTATGTAATGTCCCACACTGAAGCCTAGAATATCTTGGGAGAAATAAAAAACAAACAAACAGATGTCTTGTACATTACTGAGAAAAGAGACACAAGATTTGGGTACACATTTCTAAGACAGGGAGAAGTAGAGGTGACCGCCAAACATGAGAAATAGAGAAGATAAGAATATAGTCAGAATGTGCAATTACAAACATTTCAAGACAGCAGAGAGTTAAATTAAATTCACTGTTAAATTAAATTCACTGGAGAACATCTAGAAAAGGAGATCAAAGTGAGAGAATAGGTCCTCTAAATAATCTTTTATATTCATCTCAAGCCATGAGCAATAGATTGTAGAGTGAACAAAACTTACTGAATTGTTTTCATAAACCATAACCTAACCTCTTCAAAAAACAAAGTCTGTGGGACCACACTTATGCAAGCATGAGGGGAATCATGGACTTTATTCAACATGAAAAAAAAATTATAAGCTAAAGCTCAGAAGTGCAGGGGATCAGTTACAAAAGCAGAAAAAAATGATTAAAGGAAGGACTTCAGGAGAAAAAAGGTTCACAATTCTGAAAAAAAAAAAAAAAAAAAGAAAAATAAGGAATGACCTAAGAGACTTTACAAGCACCAGAATAAGATCCAAATCAAAATAGCCAAATAAGGAACATTAAGATACAGGCACCATATCTAGATGGAGAAGAGAGGAAGGACAACAAGGCAGAAGACAAACCTGTCTGGGATCAGGACAGAGTTACAGGAGCTTTGTTGATGGTAGTTTTAGCTAAGTGAAAAATCAGCCAGACTGGAGGCGATCCAAGGTTTAACTGGGGGCGCATCTGAAGAACTCAGAGATGAAGGAAGAATATGGGACTTCCTCCAATTTTGGAGGAAGGTCAGAAAAGATGTGTTTCTTAGTTCTAGATAGGTGAAATGTAGGTGTTAATTAAGGCTAGTCTGATTCCTCTGTCTTTGAAATAAACAGATGAACACTAAAATCTTGTGCTGAGTTAAGCAAAAAAAAGAAACAAACCCCAAAAACCTTAAAAAGAAAAAAACCCCAAGTACAGACATGGAAAGAGGTGCAAAAGGAGACACAACTCACAGATATTACATGTCCTTGTTTTAAGTAATATAAAGCATCACTGTATTTTTTTCACACTAATTATTGTTTTATTTCTTACATAAAAATTAACATTTATTTCCTGTAAAATATTTTATTTACTCTAAGAAGTCAAATCAACCACGAGAAGCATAATTTGGAAGTTCTCAGCCATTAGAGTTCATACTGCCAGTTCTAAACATTTTCAGTTAGTAGAACGCGTAATGCATTAACAGATAGGTGCACTGTGGTCACCAAGGCTGAGACGGAAACATATTCCAAAACTCAGTAGCAGCAGCTCTCACCTTTCCACCATGTGGAATTCAGTTATTGAGGTAGCAGTATTCAAGACAGATGTACACTCCTTTCAAATAGGATGCATTACTTAGTTGGGTACACTGGGCTTTACACCTCTTCTGACACTGTTACAGGAGCGTGATCTATTTAGGGAATTTATGCCACAAAGCAGTCACAGATGTTGTGACATTTGTGGTTTACTGATAGACCGAGTCAAATTAAGATCACTGCTAGGCCAGCAACATCTTAAATTGCTGACTTTGACACACTGTTCACATGGCACTAGGCTACTACTAGGTCAATCCTGTTGGATATATATTAAATGAAAGATAACTAAAATAATTATTACTCAGACAAAGCATAGTATATCAGTTAACAAAAGAGCCTTTTCTGCTTTTTCACAAACTTTGAATTTGCTAAAATAGTATGCAAACACCAACAGTAACAGCCCCCTGAACAGATAGCCCAAAGGCACAGATTACACTGTGGTTGGAATTCCAGTAAATTTCCACTGATCCCTGCACTATTTTGTATCAAAAGTATTTTTGCAGGAGGAGGGGAGGGGGAATTATCTAGCATAGACATCCTCTTTGGGTTCTGTAAAATTTTGTGAAATACTATGTTCTGTTCTTCCTTTAATTTAGATTTTTTGTGAGGCAGCTATTGGATTGAAATCTTAGTAGTCCTGTAGAGTGCTTTGATTCAAAGAAGACAATGTGATGAAAAAAAGCGGATGCAGAATGTTATAGCAGACTAAGATATGAGTTAAAAAGTTAAGAAATCAGTGTATGGGAGAACCTTCTTTTGCTTACTTGGATACAAAAGTGCACATACCTGAGCTCAGAAAAATAGCTGGCAACTCTCCTAAGGGCAATTTTCATTAGAAGGACTAGCAGAATTCTTTCAGGAGGGAAAAACCATTAGTAAATCATGTCTTGCTTGGCAAAACAGACAAAAGATAACTTTTTCAGTACTTACATCAAATGTGGGTGTGCTTTGCTGGGCACTCTGATTACATGGCTCCCTGAAGCAGTCAGTGAATGGAAGCAAAAGACCCAGCGCAATAATGCGAGAGCATAGTTTTTCTGCTTCTTCTTGTGGTGCATTTTCTTGCTGGCTGAAGAGCTTTTCCAGCAGAGTTCGTCCTGTCAAGGTGATGACACAGATCAGTAAGAATTTGCAGCTTTTTACAGGACACAAATATTTAGGCATTACAATGTATACTGAAAATCTCAACTGTTATAAGTACAAATATTAAATAACTAAATAAAAAAAAAAAGAATTCTTAAGAAAAGTCTCTAGTAGTAAGTCTTTAATATAAAAAATTCCTACATAATAACGATAACTGATTTAGAACCTGATTAATTAGGATATTCAAGAAAATATCAATTGTGTTGGCTGCACTGTGGAGTAGGAACAAAAACCATGAGATGTTATTGTAGCATCAATTTGCTATTTATTTATATTATATAATTGTCCTGAATGGAAAACTGAGATATTACCAAGAAATGAAGCAACTTTTTCTGAGGACATCATCAAAGTTATTACAGAATTAAGTTTCCCAACTTCTGGAACATGCCTTTTTTTTGAATCATAATGATTTTCTTGAATCATAAAATTATTAGTCTTTGAGAGATTGTGTTGTGTTTCACTGGAGAAACTCTCAATAAAAGAATAATAACAAAAAAACTCTGATAACTATTCTGCATAAAACTGTATTTAATACAGCTCTAGAGAAGCAGAGTGCTCCAAACTAAAATGCAGTGTCACAAGCAGCAATTCAGAGAAGTAAAACTTTTAGAGAGTGAGAAGATACTTATTCCTCTTATATGGCCAGACTTCATGATCAAAGTGTTTTCTTTGTCATCTAACCAGAACATGAAAGGAGAGCTCATGTTATAAAGAATATTACTGGACGAAATATTAGTGGTTTGAAAGATCATTGTGCTTCATGCAGTTAGCCAGAAATAGACTACAAAAAATTAGTTACATACACAGGTTTCAGTAAAATCTACATTGTAAGAATATTAAATTGCTTGATTAGGCTGTAAAATATCAAAAGATAGTAAGGCAGATTTGCAGGATATCCATAGATTATACAGATCTACTGGAAGAGAAAAAATAGATGGAGTAATAAAGTTAATTTTGTGTTTGAGTATGAACTAGATGTGAATACAATTTGTACCTCAGTAAGTTTCTATGGTCTGTTTTTTCCACCCACTCACTCAAAGTCAAAGGTATTTTCCAGAAAAAATATACTAAACCACTTTCTTAATGCAGTATACTAATGATAATTCTACTGGTTTTTACAGAGAAATGAAAGATTTCTGATTGAATACTGATTTTATTAAAAACGTAACATTTCCCAGGCTTTCTGCACATACTAAAAAGATTTTTTTTCTTTTAAACAGCTGGTTGCAATTTTAAAAGGATATTGTAAATGACATTTAGCCCATAGTTTGTGGATTATTTTAACTTCATATGGCAATACAGCCTAAAATAAACAATACATTGAAATGTTGGAAGTTATTTCTAAGATTTTCCTCTCCACATCGAAAGATCTGATAATTTTCTGATTATTAATCCAAGTTTCCTAGTCCTTTATTAGACACAATACAGTACGTTCAAGGGCATAAGCTAGGCAATAATAAATTTTGTTACATTTGCTAGTTACTTTGCCTCTGTTCCTTGGTTATACCATAGGGTGTACTTATCCAAAGGTAAAGATACTTACTATAAGGTGGTGCTTATCCAAAACTGCTTATTCAACATATCCCTCTATTACAGTTCAGTTATTAAATCTTCAAAGCAATTTATTAATTGAAGATAGTCTTTCTTACTGATTGATATGCACTGCAATTTTCAACAATTTACCTACAGCTGTAGCATACAGAAAGGCAACAGTATGAAACCATAGTAGCAAAGAACAAATAGGGAGTTATCTGCCAACAGATATTTTAGTGCTTTTAGTAATTTTTTGTTTGGGGTTGCAGTTGCAAAAGCTTAGTAGTGCTGTAAAAGATGAATGAAAACCCCTAGTTACTGCCTCTCTTACTGCAATAAATGGATTCTCCTAGTTGTAACTACAGAGGTTAAACTGTATAAGCAATTTAAGAAAAAAATAGGAGTATAAGACTGGCATTACACTAGCACTAGGGGACCAATAGGTAGCATTTCTGCTAGTATTTCTGGAGCAAGGGACATCATATTACCATAGTATCACGTTCTGTCACTGAATAAAGTTCAGTCATGTGGAAAATGGTCTAGATAAACGAGGAGCCACAAGTGAAGATGAATGGGGAAGTCAATGCTTTACACTTATCTCAAATGCACAGAAGAAAAATAATAATGAAAAAGTATACCAAATGAAGGTCACTTTGCACACACACACACAAAATAGGGTTATGCAAGAAAACTAGACATTTCTTCATGCTATAATAAATATTCAAATGTTATCTATGACTTCTGAATGTCAGACTTGTTAGATTTCTTGTTTTTTGAAGTGGGGTAGTCTTTTTTTTTTTTTTTTTGGTGTGGATGTTTCAACATTTTAATAATCTTGCCATGTTTAGAGAGTCTTCTGCATATTCAGAATCAGAATAGTCGCTCCCTTTTGCTTTAACCTAATTAGCAGGAACAATATCGGTAAATTACAAAACAGGAAATGAAGTTCTTTTTTCCTTAATCCTCCCATTCATTTGCTAATTTTTATAGCACTTAACAGTCTTGCTGAAGTTCGAATACCTTATTCAGAATCCTAGCTGCTATTCAGTTGCAGTTTAATTTGTATAGCAGTTATTAACTGTTGTCTAAAAATACTTTAGCATTCAGGCAATGTAAAATAAGTATATATGTAAAAAAAGTCATTCATGTACTTAAGTAATGGAGAGTACAGTAAGTTAAATTGTGTCTTTTTTTAATCTGACTGAATCTGAAGTAGTCTTGGAATAAGTAGGATAGTAAAAATTATTTAGGTATGTTTGCTGGTACTTTTTAACCTGAAGGAAGTGATCACTTGATTTAAACTGACTTTACTACTATTAAGCCGTTCTTTGCATCAGTTATTTGTTGAGTCAAAAAAATAAAGGTTCTCAACAAAAAGATATTAGTGTTCATATAAAGCTATGCTCTAATGCAGCTTCTGTGTTCCTTTTAATTCCTATGGAGATCTGAGGACAGATACAGAAATTTAAATTACAGAAATACATTTTGTCAGTTCAGTTAATAGCTTTTACCAAATGCAAGATGAAAAAAGTTCAATTTTAGAAGCATAGAGAGATAGTTTCACTGTGAGAAGTTGTGGAAAAAAAAATCTCTGTATCAACAATAAACGGATTATATGTTCAAGGCATTTAGTGGGCAATATATACAGAACATACTGTTAAGTCATTGAAGATTCGTACATAACTAGCTAGGGCTTATAATCAAATTGAATGGTCAATTCAAGTGTAAGAACCACCCATCCCCCATTAAAGATGAAGAACAACCAAAGTTATAAAAAGGACAGAACATGTTTTTCTTAAAGGGGAATAAGGAGGTAAATCCTATCAGAAGAAAGTGTGTTGATACTTGATAATGTCATTCATTTTCTCAAGCAAATGCCGTGCTGTGCTGCAGTGCCTGGTGATGGAGTTGCTGTGCCACTGTAGTTTCAGCGAACAACATTTGAAAGCCCCCACTTATCGAGAATTAGCTCCTCCCTTGTTAAGGGCATCTTTCGCTTAAGTTCAGATGAAAAGAGAGTTGTCATTAAAGCAAAATCATTTCAGTTCCAAAGTCCTCTGTGGCCCAGGGAAGTGGGCACTGAATCTGCCCCAACTTTGCTGCTCTCTGACCCCACCTATGCCTGCATTGATGGCAAAGTAAGATATTTGCGAAGCAGCAGGAATCGCATTTGTGATTTTGATTCAGGGCATGATGAAGGCTATATTTTTTGTTTAGGTTTAGCAAAATACCTGTTTACCACCTCCATGGGCCTTTAACTACTTCTGTTTTGAACCAGAAATGGTTTGCCAGTACCCTATCTATTTGCACTACATGCAGTTGAAATTAATTCAAACCAAAATTGCTTGGTGTCTATAACATTTTACAGTCAATTTCATGCATAATCTCTGCATCTATATGCTAAAAAGCAAAACCAAAATCATGGTCATATTTAATGGATTGGCTAAATTCCAGTCAACTGGAAGATTTTGAGTTACAACTTTACATCTTTAGTTTATAAATGAATGTGGCAGCAACAGCATTTGACCTCAGAAACCACTAATCACCTCATATTCATAACTTAAAAGAGGTGATTCCTTCAATAGATGAAGATGTTTGCAAATAACCTGGAATAATTAAATGATTAATAGTTTCATAATTATTAAATGATCACTGATTTTTGCTACAGGGTTAAATAGAGTGGTTAGGAGTTTCTCTTGGTGCCTTTACTTGCCGTGAAAACAGTAAAGACTAAAATCATATATCTCTCAGTCTCTGTTTTTCCTGGAAAGTTAAATTCCCATTTTTCATGTTTTAAATGACCTTTCTTCCCAGAAATCCCAGATGATGAATTCCTGAACCTAATTCTTACCTTTCCCTTAATTAATTTGGTGAGGGAAGGAAGGCACATTAAGTTTTGAATTAGACAAGAACTGCAGCTAGGCTTTTCTGATAGAAATATAGAATTTTGAAAGCATGTCCAGTACTGTCTACAGAGAAATGCAAGTAAATCCTAACTCAAAGAATTCACCTTAGAGATCTTTTCCTCTATGACTTGCTTACAAGACAAACCTTTCAAAGAGCTACAAGGTGAGCAAGAAAATCCTTAAGAAATAGCAATATCATGAAAATGTTTTTAGCTTTGAATCTGCTTAATTGTTGGGGGGAGGGAGAGACATGAATGGAAGAAAGGATCAGAAGAAAACTACAGTAGTCATAGTCATACAAAAAAAACACACACATGCACTGAGGCACTGCACTACAGCAGAGCTTACAATAATATTTCCCTGGGGATCTTGCTGTTATAACCTCACATTTATCTTTAAAGATGTGTGTCTTCTATCCTCCTTATGCTGGATTCATAAAAGCTTGAGAGCACAGCTGTCAGTGACCACCAGTTGAGACTAATGATCAAGACGAGCTATACTCCAAAAGCTCCCCC